TCGTTCAGAATAACGATAAAAGCTCCACGACCAAACTATCCAGACTAGAGAACAAAACTCCACCAAAATCATCCACCCGAGCTACAAATCTTCACTATCTCATTAAACTTTTGATGTAATTATTATAAAGTAATGATAATAAGACAAATACTAATAAAGATCAATAGGCTTCAAGGTCAACTGAACAAACTACTAGTTATTTGTGGAGGAATTCTTATGACTCGCTTCCGTCTGAATTTTTCACCAATTATTTTGTTTAGAGAGATAACAAAGGTTATGGAGTCAAAACAATAAGATCAGAGAAAGACTTTTTGACAAAATCATGCCCTCGAGCTACAAATCTCTACTTTTTTAATAATAATAAAGTCTGTCGTAATTTTGACCTACGAGTTCACTGTGATACATAATCAGAAACGGATAGTAGCCTACATGAAATCGTATTTATAATTTAAAACCAGGATTATGGTCGCTTTCTGTTTAACCTCAAGGAATTTACCTTGGTTTATTGAGTACGATTAACTGCCAAGAATGGATAAATAGACATCAGTGTACAAAGAGTGAAAAATAATCCCAAAAGAGAAACAATGACCTTCTCCCTGATCGCTCTTTAACTTTTTAGTGACTACTTATAGGTATAACATGCTGTACAAATTTTATAGAATTCTTTTAAAGTGTAATTAATTTGTTTGCTGAATTTTTGCACATACTGACAAACTATTCTCTTTCCAAAAACTGACTTTTCTACTATATTCTACCTGGTTTCTTTTTACAGACGAGAAAGCGATGTACTCCATATGAAAATTTCACAAGATCCCGAAACTGGAGGTTATGTTTTAGGCGAATATAGTCAACCGTATCCAAGTGTTTCATCTATGATTTATCGTTATTCACGAACTTTACTACCAGTACGTGGTACAACTCCGGTGTTGTTGCGCTTCCCAATCAGTCGTATTGCATTTTCACACTGAATAAATCAAATAACTCATAACAATGTGTCAGTTATACATTCTATTTACTTAATGATTTATATATACATCTCTTTGTTACTTCTTTTCTTTTTTCTAACAGATATTAATGATTATCATATTGTTTTACAATTCTCTCCTCTATTACTTTTACAATTTCTTTTTTCATATTCATTTTATTATGTAGCTTTGTTGTCTATTTTTTAGCTAAATTTCATTTTCTTTGTATTTATATTTATTTAACATTTCAATGTAACTGTCAACTTGTCCTACATTTATTTACATTAGTACATATATAGAGTCTTTCGTATTAATACTATGATGGACAAGTTAAAAAAAAATGTTACCGATGTTTAACATGAATACTCCTGGTTATAAAATTACTGTTTAACTAGCATTTAATAATTGTTTCTCTATACCAGTGCTTTTTTTTATTATTTACAAACAGTGAATAAAACACATGTTTATTCTTTAACTCTTTGTGGATTTCTCTTCTCATGGTAAGTTCATAATTCAGATTTCTTTCATTTTTTTTTCTTCCCTAAATGAAATGTAATATCTTCTAGTTATTGATTGTCTAATTACACAATATTTTATATTATTCAACTTACTAATATAGTTCAATAAACTTATACTGTTTATTAAACTGAAAATTGTTTGAACTATTTTACACATAGATTCAAAATGTTCAGTTTTAGTAACTAGGCAAAAATATCCAGAAAGAATCTTTAACACGCACAAGCTTTGAACACCTATGTATATTAAATATTACTAAATAACTTAACATTGTTTCTTTTTTTCATTTGTTTACTTGTTTATTGAATTATGGACATTTTGTTTGATTGGGTAGTTTTAAAAATTGTACTACTTTAGGTTGTAATTACTTTTATTGCTTTGAATTTTGTTGTGTTTTGTTTTGGCCACTTGCATTGACAACCAAAATGTTCAGAACAATAGTACTGCGTTTTATATATATATATTTCTCCAATCAATTTCAAGAGAACATTTATTCTCAAATATCGTCACCACCATTGTAATTGTTACTATTATTATCAGTGTCATTATCTCTTTCGAATATTCATTACTGTATGATTTTTATTATGGACCTCTAGAGCTGATGTTCTATGCGTCTCTATAATATAAATTTCAGCTTCAATGCTAACTATTTCGTTATACACTCCATCTAGTTGTTCGATTCAACAGTTACCTCAATGAGTTATAAATATCAGTCTTGAGTGTATTAACAATAATAATTACAGTGCAGAAATAAAGGTGTTATAATGTATAATGCATAAAATGATCTTATCGTTTCAAAATATCCAAACGAAGTGTGTTTTTTTCTAACTAACCATAGATTTACTGCCGTATTGTTAGTAATCTCAAACAAGATGAAATTGCTAAAGTGATACAACATATTCTATGTTAACTAAATAAAATTCTTCTATATCTTAATCCCAGGGAGATCTGTTCAGCAATCAGTTTATAATTAATAAACTTATGGTTACTTATAATTTAAAGTGTTCAAGCAATTCCATAAACCATAACCGTATGTTTGAATTACTTACCAGGACAATACTCTATGGACTAAGTAATGTGCATTTAGAAATCTACCTCTTAGAGAAAAAAACTACCTTTTTTTCAATATGCCTGCTGATATCAGTGAGATGATCACTGCTTCTTTTTCAATACTTAAAAGGAGCTATAGGTCATACACGCTGGTTATCCATAGACTTCAACACCTAACATAAACCTGCTGCCTACCTTTGAGTCCATAATCTTTCTACCGACTGCTATCAGTTGAATAGATTTTAACTCACGATATTTGATACTCATCCCACTAATTCTGATGCCTATGAAAATAATTTACTTCAAACTGTTAGGTAGCACCACTTCAATTTTTGCAAAATCTTTATTAAATGAGAGCTGTACCAGGAGACTTTTCTTGATAGTTCCTTTTATTGTTTCACTCTACAACTTAGTACATTTATTCTGGAATTATCATGTAGGTTGATTCTGTGACTCCAATCAAATAAGTGCCCAAGAACCGAATTCATAAAGTCTTTCTCCCAATCTTTATAGAAGCAAATACATTTTTAAAGCGAATGTTGGCTACATCTAATGTACTTGTTTACAGTAACGCTAACAAATGTGGTGTTAACGAAATATATATTGGATTAAAGCGTGGCTAAGAATACTAAGCAATAAGAGTAGCTGGATCGTAATTAAGAGAAATCATAACATGTGGAATACTCAAATCATTCGAATTTGGAAGGAAACAAAAATTGAGAAAGATCTCAATTCCTCAAACTTCTTATATCAACAGTCAACGATGTCATATGCTACATTAGTTTGCACTACTTCGCTCTTTTTAGCCTGATTTTAAAATGTTTGATAAACCTGGTTAAGCCATCCAATAGTTTGCACTAATACTACTCATCAATAATTCCTTTATAAATCAACAGTGCTTCTAAAATATCTATACTGAAATACTGTAATCATGCACACTTTTTATTTGACCACTTATGCTGCACAATACGAAGTTAATGAGTAGTAAACTTCTGCCTAATAACCTTTTTCACTTTACAGTTAAGCGGAGATCTGTATTTATTCCATTAGTAAAGTAAGCTACACATACTAAATGATTCATTTTAATTTAAAAATACCAATACAGTTTGCTTATTCACTAACAATTTGCCAAACACATCTACAATTCAATTCTTGAAACATATATACACATTTTACTTTTGTCCAAATATTTAACCATAAAGTTATTTAGTACAAACCATTATGTAATATGCTCGCTCCTCAATTGGTAAACAGACATTTGCCTTTCAGTGTGAACGATGTAAACTCATAAAACCTTAATGAAGACTTTATGTTGGTAAAAGGTCTTGTCAGACACTGGATGTGGAAAGACCGCTAAGTAAAAAGGGAACAGTTCCCTGAATAACTATGAAGTTATTTCTATTGAGTAATATTTATATGATAATAACAGGTTAGTTGAACTATATGTTGCTTAAATATTTCTGAAAACATGAACTAAAAATATAATGAAAAGCGTAAAACCAGACAAATATGTTGTCGTATTTCAGAATATTAATCGTTTAATTGATTAGAAAAAAAGAAAAAGCTCTGTTCTCTTACATTTAGTCGATATCAACCAGCATATCAACATATGTTTAGCTTTTATAGTTCGTTATGAGTAAAATTCAGTTGAACTTGCCTTATGCTTCTATCATCTTTACAAACAACAGAAGCTATAAAAATATACACCAATCAACCAAGTCTATCTAATTTATATCCTAATAATCTAATTAATGTTTGTTGCACCCGTTTTGTTAATCAGATAATATCAGAAGGGGTTTTGTGGAGATTTTAGTAATTTCAATAGTTGAAATCATGAGTCAATTGAAGCCAGATCACCATGGAAAACCTGGAAGCACTAGTATTGAACCCCTCAGCAGTGTGCATTTACGATCCCGCCCCCAGCGAGATTCGAACCCAGCACTAATCAGTCTCGCGCGCGAGCGCTTAATCATTAGACCACTGAGTCGGCATCCAACTGTGTTAATGTCTGACTTCAAGCAATCCACGAAATCGCGCCACCGTACACCATTGTCTTCAGTGAGCTGATATCTCACAACAGACTTGGTTGAACTCCACTGTTCACGACTTCTCACTAGAACTTCAGGAAATGCCTCTTGAAGTCAGTCACTAGTGAGCAGATGATTATTATGAGAAAGGGTTTTGTGAAGATTTTAGTAATTTCAATACTTGAAATCATGAGTCATTTGAGTCAAATGGTGGTCTAGCTTCAATTAACTCATGAGTTCAACTATTGAAATTAAATAATACTTGTTTAACGAACAACATTTAACATTCATATTGAATGGTCTAGTCCCAAACTTTCTTGATTCTTATTTTTTTCTACAAAACTAACTGTTATCATGTGACCTTGTTTTAGTTTTATTCTTATATTCACTGAGTAGTTAACTGATCACAAAATTTGGAGGAAAAGTAATGAAATACATAACGTAATTGATCCAATTAGATTTACTTGGTATTAATTTTATTCTTGATTGGTAAACTTAGATAACAATTTGAAATCATTATGAATAATTGATTAGAAATACTCAATTTAGCTTGCATCATTTAATGTCCTAATGAAAGTACTGAATATCTCAAATAGCTATACATAACAATGTGCTGCATTCGGTTTCGGAAGATAAGAATCAAAAATTATCTGAATGAAAACAAGGCTACTTTTTAATCATAAAAAAGTAAAGATAGTCATAGAATATAAAGTTTTAAAACCTTTCTATCCAGTAAATTTTAATCATTACTATAAATTTTAACATTCGAAATAAATGCGGTAAGATAGCATAAAAGTACTAATGATTAAAAGCATAAACATCTGGTTTCCTATCTTTAGATTTGTTCTGGATTTTGTTATATTTTGAACGTAAATTTCAAGTGTTTTGACACAAATTCCAAGAGTCTTACTTCTATTTCGTTCCCAAAGCAGATTATATATCCTAATGGGTCACCCATATCTGTTCTCTGTCAGAATCTTTAACACAATTTAGTTCGTATTTTGTTTCAGTTGTCCAAATAACCACATCAAACCTTCATTTAATCCTTCACCGTTTATGGCATTCGAAGCAAAGATCCTCCATGATTTGTTTCTCACTTGTTCCAGACCAATAATCTTGACTATTTCTTTGACTGTAATAGAATTTGGTAAATCCATTTTGTTAGCAAAAAGGAGGATTGGAATTCGCCTATTGTAAATATCTGGATGTTTCAATAGTTGTTGAAATTCGTCTTCTACAACAGTAAGTCTTAGTTCATCGGAACTATCTATTACATAAATGATCGCCTCACATTCCTTGTAGAACTTTTCCCATAAATTCCTGTAGGTTCCACTACCTGACATATCAAAACAAAGAAATATCATCTGACTGACTCTAATCTTTTCGACATTATATCCTATAGTCGGAATTGTTAATGAATTCTGCGTTTCCTTTGATTGCAACTTGTTTAATATCGTTGACTTCCCACTGTTATCCAACCCGATCACTAAGACTTTAACTTCTTTCTTAAAAAAACCGAACATTTTTGAAATAATCTCAAACAGCCACATATTTTGAAATTTATCCTATTAAGACTTTGTCGATGACATTTCAATCCCTTGATGCCACATATTTTTTTGTTGTGTTCTTTAAATACACGTAAAGTGAACTTGTAATGCTGTATGTAAAATAATTCCTACAAAAGAACAAATTACAGATTAATTTAAATATGCTATTTCTAAACGTATATGAAATCCAGGTTAACTAAAAATAACAGTTTACTAAACAGTGGTTAATTTTATTAGTTCAGATTATTTCTAAAACTAAAAAGTAGGGTTGTAATGAAACCCACTTCATTATTTGTTTGAGTGGTAAAAAATGTTTCATGGAAAGCACAGAAAAATGGCAGTAAGAAACAGGAGTTGTACCATTATTCAAAAATGCAACATTCGTGGAATTTAGCAACTATTATGGTCCATCGCAGTCCTATTTATGACTTAACTCAGTTGATACGGAATTGGACATGAAGTGCGTAGGTAATTAAATGGCATACATTTTCTGCTCTAAACAAAGATAACTGTCATGATTGCTGCATACAGTTTTAGATTAATTTCGTGGTAAATGACTAAAACGACCTAGAATAAATGTATCCACTGCTGGATATTACAATGTCATACTAATATCACATTTTATTTCGTCGCAAAAATGGTGCAGGAGTACACTTTATGACTTTTGAAACAAACGATAATAAATTTTTACCAGAAAATTTCACTGGCTCTACATCATGTGCTTATATAGGAAATAGTTCAATTGATGAATTGATCGTTATGTGAATGCCCTGATATAGCCGAGGGTGGGGAGAGTCAGCTTTCCCTCTCGAAATGTCTTTACATTTCCTCGCATATACAACCAGTCAGGGAAGTTCTACTCACTGTCTTCTTGTGGTCGAGGGTGTTGTTTGTGGAATTGAGAGGACAGAATATGAATGTCCGGGGGATTAAATGGACAAATCATATTCAAAATCACTTGATAATATTCGTTTTTATTTCTTTTATGCTACATCACTTATGTGCTCCCTTCTATTCTCATTTAGGGTAGTTTATATTTCAACTTATACAGAAGCTCGCCCATGGTGAAAACCTTGTTCTATCTAAACGAGCTCAAGTCACTGCCTGATCAAAAGTTGAATGCTTACACCAAATACGAACACTGTAACAGCATTTCTGAAAACAAGTTTATCATTCAAACTGGTTTCCTTCAACGTTTGCACACTAATGCAGATCGGACAATAGATAGGTTCGGCTATATCTTTAGAAAGTCTTAATATTGACGTTTGCTGTCTATCTGAGACCCGTATTCAAGACTCTGGTGAAGTACTACGAATTCGCTCTCCATCTGTCACTTCAAAAAGCTTGTTTATCAGCGGATCATGTGGCATCTTTGTCTTTTTCGCTAGCGTTGGTGTCATACTGAGCGCTAGGGCTGAGGCAGCACTGATCGACTAGATTCACATTAACAGACGATAATGTGCTGTTAGATTAGAAAGTTCCATCAAAGTAAGAAGAAATTGGTGTGAGAAAATATGTCTTTTCGTCATCTCCTATGTCCCGACAGATTGCAGCCCGGATGCAATCAAGGATGAGTTCTACCACCGGTTAACTGTTCTTCCTCAGAAAGCGCGTTCGACAGATATTGTAGTACTAGCCGGAGACTTGAATGCTCATGTCGAGCGCCTAAGCACGGAAGAAATTCGTTTAGGTGGCCGATGGGGTTGTTGCTCAAAGGTCAAACAACGGTAACCGTCTACTGCAGCTGTTCACAGACCATACCCTGTTTCTGGCTAGCACTAACTTCCGGCACAGTCATCGCCGATGTGCCACCTGGCGTCCCCCCTCTGCATCTCAAGCCTGGACTTAGATTGATCACATCATGGTCAGCTACCGCTGGCCTGGTTGTGTACAAGACTGCCTCTCCTTTCGGAGTACCTATCTGGAATCTGATCATGCTCTGGTCTGCGCCAATCTCACCTTACTTTTCAGTGCACAACGAAGTGACCGCCACCAAAGGATTGACGTCATCAAGCTGGCTGCAACTTCTGTTGCTAGTAAGTACCGAGCCGAGCTAGCTTCTAGGCTAGCTACCATTCCACCGAAAAGTATAGATGAGCATTGGTTTCAATTGCATGACGCCATGAAAATGGCGGGTACAGTCTGTTGTGGGCTCACGAAACGTCCCGCTTATAAGCACTGGGTTTCTTCTGGTTCCTTACAACTGATTGAAGCCCGTCGGTCTACTCCGGGTGACCGTGATTTTGACCACAGACGAAGGCTATTACGTAATGAAATTGGATAAAGCTTGCGTAAGGACCGAGAAGCCTGGTGGTCGGAGCGTGCTAATGAGCTGGAAGCAGCAGCTGCATCTGGTAATTACCGGAAGCTCTTCCAACTCATCAGAGCCACTGGCAGCAAGACGTCTGGTGTGAGCGAAACAATCTGTGAGGATGACGAAACGCCAATCACTAACATCCATCGACGTCTTGGACGATGGGCAGAGTTCTCTGAAGGGCAGTTTAACTGGCCTGCTGCTCCGGCAACACCGGTCACTGTCCTGCCCTCCACGGCCCATGACAACTGATCCATCAAATGAGGCGGAAGTCCGCAAGGAACTCCAACTCTTGAAAAGCTACAAATTATCGCGCCCAGATGACTTACCTCCAGCTCTTTTTAAAGATGGTGGTGACTTTCTGACTAAGGAACTGACGACGTTGTTTGCAAAGGTCTGGGAACTAGAGAGTGTACCAACGTCATGGAATGAGTCGATAGTCGTCCCTATCTTTAAAAAGGGTTCACGTCGTTTATGTAAGAACTATCGTTGGATAAGTCTACTTCCGACTGCGTCCGAGCTATTGGCTTCCGTCATACTTCGTAGGTTGTTCAAAACTCGAGAAAGATTGACTCGCAAGGAGAAGGCTGGTTTTCGTTCTGGTCGAGGATTTATTGATCATATCATACGTTAGAACACCATTATAGTTATCAACGGCCAACAATCGTACTGTTTCTTGACATCAGGGTTGCCTTCGATTAGTTGGACAAGACAGCTCTCTGGAATTGCTTATTGAAGAAGGATGTGCTTGAGGATTTTATTAATATCTTGAAAGCCGTACATAACAAAATCTCAGACAGAGCGAGGGCATACAACCACCTCTTCTCATTGTTCGATTCAACCAGTAGGGTTAGGTAGAACCGCGCAATCTCATCATTTCTCTTCAATTTCGCCATCAATGACATTCTGAAAGTACCTTTAGCGGATGTAAGTGATGGTGGTGTGGATCTGTTTATTCACGATAGACCTTGAGTACGCGGACGATTCTGACTTACTATGTGATTTTACCAAAACTGCAATACGCACTTAATCGGTTGGCAATCAGTGGTATGGTATGTGTTCCTCATATCCTAAATGTAAATTACTCTTACAAGACTGGAAGGACCCTAATTCTGTACTCACCCTGAGTGTTGAGCAGATAGAAGTAGTCGAGAAGTTCGTGTATCTAGGTAGCTGCATAAGTGCTAGTGGTGGCTTGAGTGACGAGATCAATGTACGTATATTGAAAGCCAGAGCGGCTTATGTCAATCTGGGCCATCTTTGGCGCCTTCGTGATGTTAGTCTGGCTGTAAAAGGTCGGATCTACAACGCGTCGATGAGAGTAGTTTTGCTCTATGCTTGTGAAACCTGGCCTCTTCAAGTTGAGGATGTTAGACGACACTCTGTGTTCAACCATCGTTGTCCCCGAAGGATTACTGACATCCAGTGGCAACACCATGTTAGTAATGCAGAGGTTCGACATCGTGTGTTCGGGCACAGAGACGATAATCCAATTGGTGTCACCATGTTGAAACATCGACTTCGTTGGCTTAGACGTGTTCTACGAATGCCGTCCCAGAGAATTCCACTTCGTGCACTATTTGCCGACTCTGGGACTGGTTGGAAAAAGCGGAGAGGTGGTCAGTGTATGACATGGTCTCGTGATATGAAAGAAATCTGCAGAGGGTTCGCTTCTGTTGGTCCTTCACGACTCTCTGGCTGGGGTCCGAGAGATGGTGCGACACAGTGGCTAGATACGTTATCATATATGGCTCAGAATAGAAGCCAGTGGCGATTCTGCCGTAACCTTCTTTTACTTTCTTCATAAAAAGTAACCGTAACTTTCTTAACTGAAAGGATTCTTAATCGTATTCTTGCCAAGTGGACTGTTTCTATTATTATTATTATTTCAATTCCGAACAATAATTTCTGTTGATTGTTCCTCTTTTTGTATTACACTCACATTACATTCTCTAGCTCTATACAACCTCGTGTGTCGCATATGTATTTTTTCTCTCTGGTACCAATGTTTGTGCTCAAATAAATAATAAATAGTTATGCGAACATGTAGATGGGTGGGGTTAAAGTTATTTAGACCGTCATTCTTTTAGTTATGCAAACGCATTCCTCAATACCATGTTAAGATTCAGATCATTTAAAAAACATAAAGTCAATACATAAACACAGGACACGGTCAGTATGGAATGCCATATACATAAGGTTAAGTGGGATACGACTTTGGTGAAATGCAATTACTGTTGAGCCGAACGCAAATCAACACAATGTGGAGATACATGTCACGTGCTTCAACGATTCTCGCAGCCTATATTTCACGTTTTCTATCCCGAAAATGCCGACTTTGCAACACATAACAAAAACCCAGAAATAATCACTGAGGCTACTCAAAACTTGTTCGAGAAATAACGCGTGGGACCATGATAACTTTCAAAGTGACCCATTTATTTTTACATTTAAACAGATGCAAGGCAGTTTTAGTCCATAATACCTGAGTTAGTTTCAGTGAATAGTATCGTTCAGCAGATGATTGAATATTTTGAACAAATTTCCGAGAATAGCTGACATCTCATGTTGTGGTGTTATACTTCTATCAATGAAGGGTCCATTGCAGCGTTCGCGTTCGACTGTTACATTTTGACTCCTAAACATTGATTTAATATCCCTAAACACATGGTTCTTTAGAAAGGAACCCAAGCTCCCAACTTTGGGGAACTTCCCCAAAGCTCCTCAAAATTTTCCCGAAATTGTGAGCTTGAATTGGGAACTTCGCTCTAAATTCACAATAAAAATTAATTTTTTGAGATCACTGAAGCATTTGGGATACTCTTATAGAAAAAGCAAGCAGAAAAGTTGTTAAAAATCTATGTAACAGAATAATCACCTTCTGACCGTATTTATGAATAGTTACTCAAATGTGAATAGCCTCGAAGCTACACTAATAGCAACAAACATTCAAACAAACGTGGACTGTGTTCGCAGGATGAAATGTAAGATATAACATCCCATCATACAAATGCTTTTATTAATTATCTTTAAAATCAAACTAAGAAAGTAAACAACATTTTGAAAAATGATATAAAGCTTAATCTATGGAGATTCTCAAACCTTTTTTCGTGAACAATGTTGGCAAATTCTTCAATATTAGGGATTTCATTGCATCTGATTATCTTACTTTGCTAGCCCTTTAATCTTGGTGAAAATAGACCTAGTTCAATTACTACTAATTAAACAATACACCGTCTTCAATTTACACTTCGTTCTTAGCTATACTTCTGAAAGCCTGTATTCTACCACCAGTGTTCTGGAACTTGCACAGCATCCCGAGAAGCATGTGATCTTAACAGATTAGTTGTCACCAAAGATGCGCAGCTCCGGAGTACTCAAATGTGGTTTAGGGAGGATGCGTTACTGAGTCCATTTGACTCGAGTGTGTTCATCAAGATCAGTGAATGCCACGTTAATGTCTAAGACGTACAGAATTATTCATTTTTCGGATTTATCAATCTCTAGGGCTCAGTTCCCCCCCCCCAGTGTGGCAGCAATGATTCTAAAACGTGATCAGACACAAGATTCGACTACACGATCGTGCTACTTACAAACACCCTACTGATAAACTGCACGTCCAACAGTATCTGGTCATCTTTTTCTTCGCTAAGAGGGCATATGGTACATGAATGTAATTTTTAAAAATGTACAACGGAAAGTTCTACCCGTAATATTCGTCTCCTATTTTTCACTTTTTCAAACCATCCCCTAAAAGAAAGATATGGCATTACCAGTGCACTCGTACTTAAAAAGACAAACAAAATGTGTGAAAAAACCGTTATATATGCATTTAAATATCATGAGACAGCAAGAAAACTTACACGTAATATGCTTTTTCAGGATCGTTTTGTGAGAAAAGTGTACAGACATAAGTATATTAAATCAGGGAAATATATCTGTAAACATGTTAAATAAAATCATTTTTGGGTTGTCTTTTTTTTTAACACAATGAAGGTCTAAAGTGCAACCGAATGGTAGTAGAACATGAACAACAAGACAAAAGAGAACGAGCTTACAAGATTCTCTGTTCGATATACCATACAATGGTTTAGCTGTCTGATTTGCTTTAACCCGAAACCATTAGTGGCAGTGTGTGACATAGAGCTTAGATCAAAACAGTACGTTAGATCCATTTTGAATGTTTTGTGTGTGAAAACACCTCCACGTATACACTTGCAGTCTGTTCCTGTTGATTCTTTTATTTGTACATTTTGTTAGATTTTGGATGGCATTTGAGTTGTTGATATTTGTATTTTATTATGGTTTGTATTTCTCTTACGCCCTAGCTAAGTTTTCATGTTTTTTCCTGCACTGCATTTATGTTGTTTTACTTGATACTTGGTCTCGGCGTCAGCCATATTGGTTTGTTCCTTCCTTTGATCAACCGACTAAAAGCTGTTTGTGTTGAAGGAAGCGGCATTCACGTTGAGTCATAACCGAACAATCGAGTGACACGATCCCTACAACCGAGATGTAACCCCTAAAACATAACAACCGCGACAAAACTTCGATTATACCCGATAACGAGCATAAGATGATGAGCTCTGAAAGAACTTTGGGGTTGCCGAAAAACATGAACGACTACTACGTGTAAGATCCAAACTAAGGTTTGGACTGAAAAATAGCTGTCTAGGTGGGTTAGATACGCTCCCTTGCTCGGTTGAATCCAAAACAAAGTGGTTGGGTAAGACGACGGTTATGAAATTGATTATCAATTTAAATGTACATTGTTACCTAAACAAATATGACCACTCAGCTATTCAACCAATAATTGTTCATTTGATTAAATTTAAATAACAATAAATGAGGAAGTTGCTAAGGATGAGAAAAAATTACCGATCGCAATGAATAAATGTTATTTTATCCTGTCTCGATAGATCAAGCACAGATTCGTTCAAAAGGTACTATTTGGTTGCTTTGTAACACAGAGTGTTTTCAATTCTGAAAGAGTGCCTCAATTCACAATCAAAAATGCACAATTTCAGTCAATACAAGCAACACAAGCAAAAGAAGGAACAAACCAATGTGTACCTACATACGCATTTCTGGCCTTCTCTTCATGTTATCGTGTGTTTGACTTCGAAAGTCGAGTGGTTCAGAATCATTACCCGCACACGTACTTATCTGCAAACGAGTCAAGTAGAAACATTAGAAGCATATGTTTGTTGAGCAGAGTGAACTTTCGGTAATACACTGTCAATAGTGCCGTATAGTACATTTCATAGCTGGGATTTTGACACCGACTGTACCAAGCCTCGATTCAGTGGCTTATAATAGTCCTGAGAAGAATGCCTAGAGTTCTCAAGTGCCGTTTGCCAGTTGATATAAGATTCCTCAAATTACTGAGCCAGATACATCCACGGCGTTACTAATGGGTACTCTGGTGTCCAGACGTGGTAGCGTATTATGGTGTGACTTCTATAATTTGGCTGTACAAATGCTTAATAAACATGGGAAAAGTAGAAAATAAAAATTTTCCGTCGTGAAAAAAATTCCATGGATCTGTCTGTCTGATGAAAATAGAAATAATGTTGAAAAATTAGGATAAAAGTTTTAAATGACATAACACTGGCTGAAGATAAAGCCTTAGCTAATTAATCTTGACATGGTTCAATGGTCTGTTCAATAAGGTCTCCAGAAAAAAAAATCGACACTGCAGGAATTATAGAACATAAGTAGTTAACTGTGATTAGGAGTAAGCACATGTACCTAGGTTAGACAAGATTCAGATGAGATGTTCTAGTGTCGAATGCATTTTCCCTTTTGTGGTGCATAATGATAAAAATTCTCGGAAATTCAATCAGACAATCAATTTGTTCATCTCTACAGTTCCATAAGCTTCTGAAATTTCTTAACAGTGTAATGTCTTGAGATTTTATAGACATTTACTCTTAATAGTTTCACCATTGCAAGTCAACCAAAGTTCTGTACTTAAGAATGAAGTGTGAGAATAATGATAAAAGTAATCAAAAAATCACAGAAAATCGACATATCCGTAGGGATTATCGTCAAGTATGTACCTATTCATTTTTCGGTGACCACCACAAAGCTCATCACTAAATGTTCTGAGTATAAATATGACATCCACAACGCTTTCAAGGCAATTTATTCTGTATATGTTGCGCGAATCAATGCGAAATCATTCGGTACCGTTTAACTTCACTGTGAAATGAATTCAGTGTCATTCGTAAATCATAAATATTCTGCTCGTGTATTTCAGTATATGATTTACTTGATGTCTTTGGTGGTGCAAATAAAACGCCAGAAGCTGATCATTAGCCTTGTGATTAACCTTCCTAGTGCATCCACATTCACGCTCGCGGGATTCGAACCCAGGGCCTTCGGACGCGCGCGGATGCTTAACCTCTAAACCACTGTGCCGGCAGCTAATAGTGTTGATCTCTAACTGCAATTTATCCACGAAATTGCGCAACCATCTTCCATTGTACTGAGGAAGATACCTGATATGGATTAGCTGCTTGGTTCAAAGCTTCTCACTAGAACTCCGAGAACTCCCTCAGGAAGCTAATCAATAGTGAGCAGGACCGAAGGCTTTAAATTCGAATCTCACAAGCTGGATCATGCATGCGCACACAATAGGAATTAACGGCCGTCCAGTGCTTCTGATGACGAGCTGAAACGCATGGAATACCTATCAACGACTTTGCAAAAAGCTACTAAAGGAGGACACACAAGACTGCTATATGACATGACGAAGAAACTGGCAGTGAAACGTAATAAGCCAGAGAGACTGGTCAAGGAAAAAGAAGACAAGATATTCACCGAGATTTAAGATCAGAGGAACAGATAAGTGGGACACTTTGAAAAACTCCTAAGTAGGCCAGCTTCACTGAACCCACGGGACATGGGAGCAGCACCTACAGACCTTTCTATAGATGTCACTTAACCAAAGATATAAAAAATCGGGATGATCATCAGAGTTTGAAAACAAAAGCACCTGACAATATAACAGCCGGGACACTGATTTCAGATATAGAAATAACCGCACTGACGATTTTCCCCCACGATTATGATTCCAGCACTAATGATGGTCATCTCTCTCTTGATATAGAGATAGATCATTTTCTTGAAGTACTCCTCCGATGAGTTTGGGATCGTCAACAGTCGTGACGTATACTAAGGTAACGTTTTAGAGTATGGCAGAGTTTCGTCACGTCATTTTGTTTCGTTTGAGGTGTTTCGTTGACTGAATGAACCTTGGTGTTAGAAGTTCTGGTGATCTCCCTAATTCGGTCAGCAAATGCGGCCAGCTTGTCTACAGCGTTGCTTTTAAATGAAACAAGAACGTCCTGCACCTGTTGAGGGAGTTTAGACAAGAAAACTTGTCTAAACAGGCCCTCGTGAAAGGTCTGTTGAACAATGACCTCTCTCATTCATAAAGCCATATCTGTTGTTGAACCACGTTGTAATTGGATTTTAATGAGGAGCTGATCTAACATTTGTCGACCGATTAAATCTGAGTGTTTAATAGTAGCTCTTTTTAAAGTTACCGTCACCGTTGCGAGGAATTTCGCACGTGTCTTGAGCTGGATGAGTCAAGTAAAACTAATGCAGTCTGCATCAAATGTCGAAAAGTTACAGAGCTATTGATTTTAGAGGTTTATTCACCGCTGCACACTGATAGGTTTGGTGAAACGAAGTATTAAAATGTGATGAGCGTTATACTTTCCGAAACTTGCACCCTGTTCGGTGTGCTATGCTTTGTAGCAGTATCTTTAAATTCTAGGACAAAAGTTCTTACGAAAGTATTGTGCATAAGTAACTACAGACGAAGCAGGCATCGCAGATGTACATGGTCTCGTACATCGTGCAAGCACCTTTGAGGGGCTAACATTCATTCGGGCCAACCCAGGTGATATGTTGAAGATGGTTTCTTCTCAGAATAATAACTGTCAAATTCATAGCTTACTATAATACTAATTAGAACTTGTCAGTCCAGTTGAAAAGTGAAAAGGATCAGTGATTGGTATCTAATCTGTCAATGTTTGAACAAATTATTCCTATGCTTACATGTTGTTGTGTTATTTTATACCTATGGTACTTTGCTTCTGGGTTCCTGCAAGAAATGCTGCCAAGTATAACACATTGCTTTCTATATAGAGGGGCCGACGATTTGGCGATTTTGTTTCCTTGCATAGAGCATATCACACTCAGTCTACAGATTAGGAGGAAGACAATTGATCTCAACCCATACATAGGGCATGAGCGATCCGATATCAGATGAAGTTACATTTCGTATTATATGTCTCCATAATGTATCAGGATCAAAGTGTCGGGTTTTTAATGAACTAAAAAGGAGGTAATTCATCAATAATGTTTTTGAAGTCGACAGTATCGAGTTCTCATGGAATTATTATGGATTGATACATATAAACTGACTTGCGTAAAATGAATAGTTACGACAATAATCATTTATCTGAAAGATTCATTTAGCAATGATCTGACCACGATCATGTGGGATCTTACATGTATATGACCGCCACGCAAATACTCATGAAAAAACAACTAGTACGAGTGCAGGTATGTATCTCGCGCAACTTACAACTGATGACGGTGCAGCTAAATAGATCGTGTGATCCCAGTTCCCAACAAAGATTGTCATAATCTGAGGCTTGTTATTCCTGACCGCTGTTCATTGCTATTTATAATAAATGTAAGTGTAGTTTGTGAACTTGAAGAGTCTTCGACCCGTGTTTTCTTGTTTTTTTTTTCCCTCCAGCCCTCATAAATGATTGGGGGATTACTCTAATCTGCGTGCTCGCTTAGTACACAAAGTACCTTCTGGCTAAACGCAAAATGCTACGACGGCATATAATTTCTTGGTAATATCTGATTTTCAGTATTTATGTTGGTGAGCTCGAGCTCCATATTATTAATATATGTTAACAACTGCTGTTGTTTAATCAATTCTCGCATAGTTGCGAGTTAGAACCGCACCTTGAATGCATCATTGTAAGGTATTAAGCGGTAAATATTGTCGTAAAACAACAAACTTTGACCGCGATCAGACAGGTTCGCTGACTCAACGATAGTAATGTTACTATTTATTTATTTATTTTAACACATAGATATCGGTACAAGAAGGCACCAAATACATATGCGCCACACAGATATCAATTGATATGTGTGAGGGCTGTGATACTGCCCGGGTGCCCAAACCGAAGCAGATGGTTTTCTTAGGGGGCCACACACCGAGCCTTTGACCTGAAGATCTGATCCACAAGGCAGTGGAGCATCGTGAGGAGATGCAACCCCATGGTAGCTGGTGACCAACGATTGGTTCATACGCCATTTGTTCCTTCAGGATACTGGAGCTCATGTGCACCATTGATTTGGGATCCGGTTATAGCGCCGGACATTCGCTTTTCGTCCTCTCATTTTCGTAAACAACACCCCCGCCACGAGAAGGCAGTGAGTAGGACTTTCCTGGCAGGGGCTGTATACGCGTGGCCATATGAGAGCATTTCAAGAGGGGGAGTGGAATCCCCCCACTCTCAGCCGTACCAGGGCATTTGGGGGCTTATATCAACCTGTCCTAGCGGCAAGATCAGCAACTGGTCATGTTTTTAGGATCTCATTATCATTCATGTATGTAGAAAAGAAAGAGATTAAAGAACCAAACATCTTAATTGAGTATCCACGGATTTAGTCAACTGGATGTAGTTTAACGGTTCGTTTCAAGAACTCTTTATAGACGTTTTATCTTTTTTGTTCGTATGACGGCGGTTGGTTGATTAGCGGTACATACCTGACTTCAGATACCAGCCCCAAAGCATCATCAATCGACACAACCTAGACTTGTACGACAACGAATGTTGAACTGCGTTTTTTAACAGGGAATCAAGAAATAAACCACAACGGAAACACAGGTATAACGGATAAATTCACATAGTAAGGAAATTATAGAACAATAAGTTTCTATGAATGTGAACAAAGTGGAAATATGGTTCTGCTGAGGGTCCTCATCTTAGAGCGGTCGGGCTCGACAGACATTGTTTACAGATGCTCATACTAACATTAAGCGGTACTGTGCAATATAATGAAGAGTACATTCGTACTTATGGATTTTAATCAACTGCCTAAATATAGATTGAGTAGCCTTTCCGTTATAAAATGAAATCAGATATGTTTCATATAACAAGTGCATTTGACATGCAGCTTCACTACTTGTGGCTCAATTGGTCAGATGTAAGTGAAGTAAGGTGGTGATGGTTGAAATCTGAACGCCTTTCTTATTAAACTACCTCTCAATCAAAGTCCTTTTATGAATAAAAAACCCATATCACATCATTACTATTATTCGTCGATTCGACTGACACATGCTTTCAATTTTTAGGGTTTAAAAAAACAAGGGATGTCAAGTTAGTTACCAAATATATCGCAACATGTTTTCGATAGATTCTTGTCAAAAAAGATATCATCGAATACTTCAACGCAAAAAAGAAAAGCGAAAACAGGAAAAAGTTCGCAGGAAAATGACTTTGCGCAATAAAATAAGGGCAGATATAGAACTAAACCGTTATCACAGCAAAAAGTTTATAAAGAAGGAGGTTTCTAACAGATTGCAGGTCGCACTGCATGAAGGAATGAGGATCTACATAGATTGTTCTTATGAAGCTCTTATGTCTCCTAAAGTTCGTGTTAACGCGGAAAACTATCACTTTGTAGGAATGTAATAAATTCGCTCAACAACTATGTCGTCTTTATGGCGCAAACAAAAAAGCAACGAAGCCCTTAAGCATTAACCTTGTGAATTTTTCACAACATGGACCTTTGTTCCATGCTTGCCAGTCCAAATGTGATGGATTCCTAAAGTACAAGGTCAGTGTCTTGTAAATGTAACAGTTTTCGTATTCTCCACCTCTTAATCTTTGTGTTGGAAAAAGCTTGTTCTTGAAAATGCGTCGATTGGATTTAGCGTCATTTAGACATACACATACTCTTGATGTGTTGCTTGTGTCTCGACTTTCTAACGTTAGTTACGTTCCTCAGGGTTCAATATCATTTAAAAAGGTTTTTTTGGAGTTGTACGCTAAACGATAGCTGATTGACTTGAGGGCCACTACTTATAAACTATGGGGTGAAATTGGATCTGTTTATTGATAAAGGAAAAGTAAGATTTTACCACACAAAACCTGTTGGATTACGAACATCAAGAAATTTAAGCATTACCAACACTACGGTTGGGGAATAATGTCCGGAAGCTGACACAAAATGTTGTCGAGTTTCCAACACTGAAATACTCAAGGTCAATCGCATAATAACGACACATTCATGTAGGTAAGGACCTACAAGTAAATAGTGAGTACATCTAAATCTAGTCTCTCCATAAACGCCGTGGATTTCACATTTTATTCACTGAATCTCACTGTTGCGCTATAAATTCTGAGAGGGTCAATGGTACTGCAGCCGGATTGTTCAAATAGGGGGTGTATCAACCATACTGGTTGAGGTAGTGAACCACAGCTTCGTAATACGTTATTAAGCATGCTATAGGTGGTCTGGAATTTCATAATTGACGTTTTGGAGTAGGTTTATGTCTGTCTACCCACCAACCTTCTGCCCCGTCGTTGTTTCAAAAACCACCGCAACAACAGCATTTGCATTAATTATATTATGGAGCATGATCCTATTTCGACTGCTGTAGTGCGCGATCGACTGTTGTTTACCAGTGATGTAGCTCCACTACCTCACTAGCCTGGTAAACGATCGTATGTACGTGTGCACTTCTAGCTTCGTGACAGAAACGATTCATATCTGGATGTACAGTTTTTGTATTATTTCGATTTATTACAAAATGCTATTTAACTATCTCATAGATTGGATTGTACTCTGAAACACCATCAAGCATCACGCCAGAAAATATAGAAATCGTGTACCTCAGTCCGGACGCAAAAGAACCACTGATATCTTTATCGGAAAATTGTGCGTACGTCCTAGGGTGTCTTGTGGATGAGCATATATTAAAGGTAATACTGTATGGTAGAAAACACTTTTAGATTTACTATCAGTAGTTATACTTTTGTGTAGTAAGTAGACCTAATTCGAATCTTCAGATATACTACCAGCAAATGCTCGCTCAGTTAGTTCAATATACAAAAGTAAATAGACGAATTAGAAAGAAAAACTAGACATGGAATAAGAAAGTGTTTAAGATTCGGATAACTGTTTAGTTTTGTCGTTTGAAACATCAACTGTTGCTATTTATCGAGTCACTGCTTTATTTGATCTACAATGCAATGACTATACGATTATTATGCTTATTCACTCATTCTCCTTACACCCCTATAAAGGTTAGGAAAAGTATACAGCTCTGATTAGTACTTGTGGTCATTTTATTACGGAAAACATTCATAAAACTTCGTAAGGCGCTGGTTTCTTTTGTTCCAAAATGTAATGGTAGGCTAAAACCATAATTGATTCGCTAAAAAGTTAAGCGGCTACCAAAAAGAGGTCAATATGCCCTACAAACTGTGACAGATTCAGAGGACTTCAAATTCCTAGACCTCAGTTACATTCTTCCAAAATATTGGAGAGCGTAAGTATAGCAAGTTTTGCTTTTTTAGACAACGGTGGTGACGAAAGTAGACTTGAGATAAAGCAGCTGAATGAACTCGTATACAATCAGCGACTGTTAGCACTCATGTTAAATATCACAAAACATTGCTACTCCGTGATGTATATTAGCAATGTATATGTACATATACAAAACATTTGACACTAATAGCCTTTTTTATTCTGACAGTTTTACATTGATATACTAGTCCTGTTGGTATTTTTATTAACCACCGGCGTCTTCTAGTTCGTCTTGCTTATATAAATGTCGTTACTTCTTATTGTCATTTGCCTGATCCCAAACGGCTGTTAGTCTTAGTTTCTGATTTGTATCTACCTCAACTTATTTTCCTACGGTCAATCACAATAACTACTATGCTCCGAAAAACTTCGCTAGGGACTCTATGTATTCATTTTCTGTGAATGAAGTGGTACACAGTTGATATTGAGGTTGTGTATTCAAATGTCGCAAGTATAAACTGCACCTATTTTTTCTACTGAAATGGATACTGATCATTCATATTTCGACGCTGTTATTAAAATAGATAAATACTGCACGTGAGAAAAGTTGTGTAGAACAAATATATAAGTAAACATGAATTGTAATCAGTATTTTCCAGGTTGTGTTTATTGTTATACTACTAGTAATATTTGTAATCACGTCTCATTCTTACTTTACAACTCGTTATACATTAACTTTTATCCTTTCTAGGGACGAAGCCGACAAGAAGCTGAAAATCAGGGTTACCGTGCCGTGCGACTCCCAATTGAAGAGTTCACATCTGGAAAAATATCTAACCCTGTGCTAGCGATAAATCATGTCGTCGATATATTGTTAGCGTACATGGCGAATGGTGGTGACTGGAAGGACGCCTTATATTCTAAATTGCCCGGACGATTTTTGAAATAATACGTACATATATGTCATTTTGTTTTAACTTATGAAGAAATACAAGAAATTCTATAATAAAAAAAACCATGTGACTTCGGAAACTGAATTACATGGAAGTTAGCGACTTGATGTAGCACGAAAGTCTTCGACTTATGTATAATGGTCAGGAAATCACCGCATGTAGGACCTAAGAGGCAAAATTAGATTAATTATTGGAACTTACGGTAATTTAGTACTGATAAAAATCCGCAAGGTCAGCAACGATACGAAGATGCATCCGATTCCTAGTGCCATCAGTAAAATACGGTTTAACTTCGTGACCTTGGCCTCATTGACTTTATCCATTACGATGAATCCGAAACTCCCCATAACAAACATAAAACTGGCTGCAAGTCCTTCAAGTATGTATTGACTGTTTAGGCGCCAGGCCATGATAGCTACCTAAGTCTCATTGAAGAAACGATGAATCCAACTTACCGGTTTTTGATTGCCCCTGGAGTCCGTTTCCGTCCCCATACTTGGCGGTCCGACGATCATATCGTAAATGACCCCTGTATGGCAAAATAACCATGCACATAAGCACAACAATGTACGATCAACCAGGTTTTAACCTGCCCCTATCTTTAATGCTTGCATTTCACAGTATGAGATTAAAGCATAAATATATAATGTAGAAAAAGTGGGCAGAAACTTAATATATATCTGCTAGGTCACTTCGCTAGTTATTTCTGGGGGTGGCCCATACTTTGCGGAGAAAAGCTATTTTCTCGGGCGTTAGGAATCATACTTGAGTTGTTTACGCTTACTAATACGCCAACATTTATACATCCTTCGACACAGTACGAAAGGTATACATTAGGAAGCGACACATCTCGGGAAGAGATATTCGTACGACTTACAAGTGCTTACTCTTATTTTGGTTGAAATGAAATTTTAATCCGTTGAGATTAAAACATGTGAATAGAGAGAGCTTCTAGGAGGACGGAATGCATAGAAGTCGTTTGGCATTAACACACTTCTGCACACTAACTTTCGCTTTTTTGGTCAGGAAAAGTCTTGTGAAAGTCACTTGCCTAATTAGAATTTGCGGCAGATGGCCCTCTGTAAATTCATGAGTTTTAAACCAAGAGTATGGAAAGAGTAGCAGTCGCAATAATAACTTGATAGCATACACCAAGTTCGCTTACCCAATCTCTGTATTGTGATGCAGGTAATGCTACTTGGCTTCCTATAAGGAACTGTAGCTCACACGGAACATGACAGGAGATCAACCGCCATCTTACAGTGCAAAGGAACCTTGGGTGGTCGTTATAGTACGTTACGTGAGCTGTAGCTACCAAAGGCAAGACCTTTAAACGTAAAAACATATCTCAATAATTTGGTTATTATCGGTAATCCAATGCACCTGAAGTACCCTGTAAAGGATGTTTAGGATGTCTAGGCTGAAGTATTTTTAAGACCCTACCACGGTTCCAGAGGACGATTAATATGGAGCCATATGGACGAGTTCCTATACCGCATGCATTATGATTTCAGAACTTCTGAACCTTTATCAAACCTTAACAAGTTCCTAAATCATGTGAAAGAAGAATATCCATTGTAATTCATCAGTTTTTCATAATATATTTTTACTCTATACCAACTCTCTTCTGATTGGCTAATGTTCTCAAGGTCACTTAAACGTACGTTCAAAGTCGTCTATAAAATAGAGTTTCACCCAAGTTATGAACCACGTCCATGGTAGGTACTTGAAGTACATTTGAATTAAGTTAAATTCTACAATGAATCGAATCTGCAATACTATATTTCAGAAGTTGAAATGCTTCAGAAAGAATCAGATGGTTTCATATTATACAAGTGCATTATACAATTTTTTTAACCACATCTTATATCGAGACAAGTTACATGAAGAATATCGGGAAAAATCGGAGTGTCAATAAAACTGTTAAGAACCTCTAATAATAAAAACTTCACTAGTACATAATACAATAAGTGTGATTCCGGTAAAAGTACAAAATCCCTTTAAAAGTCATAAGTATGAGAACACAAGTGCAAATTGGATCTTACCCCCTGTAATTAAAAAATAACTAAGGATGAGAATGGAAAAGAACACCATTGGAGATGGCCATGTTATGAAACTCGGTTTCTTTATTTTTAGTCTAGGGCACTCAACTATTGAAAATAGTGGAGCAAGGACACAATCCATCTTCGTTTGTAACGCGAGGTATTGAAAATGCTGACGACCAAAAGCGACGTCGACAAAAGCAAGTTCGTTTAAGAAAAGTGAAATATATACGTTTGGTGTCCTGGCAAACCATAGTCTATAAAATGACAACTAAAGTCTAATACTTTCTAAAATCACTAAATTTTTGAGCCATAGTGTCTGTTCTAAAGTCCATTGTATCACATGTTGTCATGTAAACACATAGTACTTTTCTCTTCGCTTAGTGTTTAAAGGAAAAGTTTCAAAAAAATTATATTGTAGCTTTCGAATCATCTCAGAAAGTAGTATTACTTGTAAGTTTTTGATGTCCTAAGTTTGACTGAGTAACATCAAATGCTTGAAGATAACTTACAATCTATTGGATCAGCTGCTGATAAAATGGTTCAAATGGTTGCGGACGGAATAGAAGAAGCTTTCACTTAACAGGCTTCCGTGTCTAGTAGCAGAGGATCACCAATACCCCCAGGCAAGAACCTAAGTATATTAACGATAAAAGAGAAGAAAACTAAATTGGTAAATCATAGTAAGATACTATCCTTAGTCCTTAAGAATAGATCAAGTCGCCTCTTAAAGGACTCCTGGGAAGTTGCTTGGACTGGCTCAGCTGGCAGCGAGTTCCAGCATTTGACAACTCTTAAGGAGTAGAAATTGTGTCTGCAGTCCGTTCTACTATGTTGTATCTCCAGTTTTTGGGTGTTACCCCTTAGGTTAGTGTTGGGACTAAGCTTAAGTAGGTGTTTAAGAGGGTGTCCAGGTGTGTTAAGGATACTGTAAGCCATTAGAATGTCACCTCTAAGACGCCTATACTGTAATGGGTAAAGGTCGAGTGATTGGAGGCGCTCATCGTAAGGTTTAAATTTGAGTCCCCGAACTGATTTCGTGGCTCGCCGTTGGATACGCTCCAGAGTGTCCTTATCCTTTTGGAGTGTAGGAGGGAATACTATGCTCCCGTACTCTAAATGGGGACGAATGAAACTATTGAAGATTATGTGGAAAGTTCTCCCGTCAAACTGACCAAAAATGCGCTTCAATGTTACCAGTGCAAGGTTTGCTCGAAAGGCATTTTTGTCACAGTTGGCGTAAGACTTTAAGTCGTAGGGCACCAGAACTCCTAAATCTTTTTCGACTCGGTATACTACTAGAGAGGAGTTTCCTAAGTTGTAACTGTAATCTGCGACGTGTCGCAGATAGACTACTTTACACTTTGAAGTGTTAAAGGTAAGTCCGTTATCATCTGCCCAACTTTGAAGTCGAGTCAGATCCTCCTGAAGTGCCTGTATGTCCTCTTGGTTGCGTTTCTCTCTCCAAAGTTTCACGTCATCGGCAAAGAGCAGTATGTCTGACGTTACCTGTTGAGGACGATCATTTATATAAATCAAGAAGAGGAGAGGTCCTAGTGCTGAGCCCTGGGGGACCCCACTAGAACATTCCATAGCGCGTGAGAATTGAAGTTTACCCTGACCTTAAAATGTCGATTTGTGAGATATGAACTGAGCCAGTCAATTAAAGGTGGTTTGATTCCCAATTGTTTGAGCTTGTTAATAAGACATGTGTGGTTAACCCTATCAAAAGCTTTAGAGAAATCAAGGTAAATAATGTCTACCTTCCCCTTGCGATCAACGATGCTTGTCCATCTGTCCACCGCGGTCAGCAGGTTCGTCATACAGGAATTACCCTTCCTGAAACCATGCTGTTGGGGTGAGAAGAAATTTAAGGACAGCAGATAGTCGTGTATACCATCGTATATCAGGGACTCCATAATTTTCGAAGGTATAGAGAGAAGAACAACCGGTCGGTAACCTGAAGTTTCGTTGCGTCGACCTCCTTTGAAGATCAGTGTGATATGAGCCAGCTTCCAAATATCCTGTAGTTTACCTCGACTTAGCGTGTGTGAGAACATCACGCTGAGCGGTGTTGCCAGGATTGAAGCTGCTTCCCTCAGTATAGCGGAGTGGACCATTTCTGTACCAGGAGAAGTGTCTGTTCTTAGGTGTTGTAGTTTACGGAACACCAAGTCAGCGCTCAGTTTCACTACGGAAAGTCCCGTTCAGTTGCAGATAGAGCTGTCATCAGTATAGTTGATGTGGGACTGTTGAAATGTCCGAAAGTATAGCAGTTGAGATACTCCAGTTTTGGCTTGACGAAGAGAGGCTGCGTAACGGAATAAGCTTTTCGGATTGGAAATAAATTTATCCATAAGCTTTAACTGGTACTGAAGCCTGTCTTCTCTTATGGCCTTCGTACATATGTTCCTTATATGTTTGTGTTCCCTGTACTCGCCGTTGTTGTTGGTTCGTTTGTATTCTGCCCAACAGTGCCTTTTACGGCTTAGCAAACGAAGAGTGCGTTTTTTGATGATTGTAGGTTGCTTGTGCCTTTTGAGGACCGTTTGAGGAACTGACTGCTTAGTAGCACATGAGAGCGTGCCCAGTAAGGAGTCCCAATGTGCATCCACATCAAGTTGAGTGTGAACATCCCAATCCACCTGTTGTAGATAATCCTGTAGAGCTGGCGCATTCAACCGTTTGAAGTTCCAGCGCCTGTTGTTGTCGGGATATCTTAGCTCTGTTTTGCTGACGAAACTGAAGGCTATAACGGCGTGATCGCTTTTCCCCAGGGGAGCCAGAATTGAGAGGTTGTCGACTAGAAATTCTTCATTTGTAAAAACACAGTCTAAGCGCGACGGTGTCTGACCGTTCCTTCAACGAGTGTGCGACTTCACATTTTCGTGTAGTCCCAAGTCCTCAATGAGGTTGAAGAACCGAGCTTCGATTGAATTTTCACCTCCAGTATACGTATGTTCCGCGAAGTTGACTCTAGGAAGATTGAAGTCCCCTAGGATCAGGATATGAGTGAAGCCGAGACGCGTAGAGCGGGATAGCCCCTCCAGATTGCGACTGTCATACTCGATGTCGGCAGTGGGCTTCCTATATATGACTCCGACTAGGCACCTCGAAGTATTGGACAATCTCATAGAGCACCATAGGGATTCCTCAAGATTGTCAAACTCGTGGTTGTGGATTTGATGTACCACCAGGCCAGATCTTATGTATAGGGCTACTCCACCCCGAATTCCTGTTTTTCGGTCATTGCGAAACAGAGACATCCCAGGTATTGCTAGCTCCTGGTCCGAATAATGAGGAGATATCCAAGTTTCAGATATTCCTATCAGATGAATTTTATTAGCGTTGCTAAGTTCACTTAGTTCATCCATTTTATTTGGTAGACTCGCGGCGTTCATGTATAAGCAGTTAATGCTTTCAATTTGAAACGCGTGAGCTTCTTCCTGTTTATCTGTGAGAGCCTTGCGTGAGTGGACAGGTAACCCACCTATATAAGTTTTGTCGAATTGGTAGGCCCTGTCCTTTACACGTTTTTTTGTCTTGAAGACAGTCCACAAGTGGAATGGTCAGTTCCAGCTTGCCTTTGTGCTTGATCCTGGCGTCGTATGGCCTATCCGGGTGCATATGGATCCCAGTTGGCAACCGACGTCTGTTGACACGAAATGCTTCCAGAGTTGCAGCCGCCATATGGGAGGATGGAAAAGTTATCCTCATTAGTCGGGGTCTAGGATCCCCATCCTTCTTGGCTAGTCTCATCACATTCTGAGACAGTATGTTTTTAAGCCTCAAGGACTGTTTGATGAATTTCCATTCCCGAATGTCAGAGTTTGCTTGAGTAGGGTCCATGTTTTCCGATACACCTTGCACGATGATATTTCTTCCGCGGAAAAACTTCTCTCGAGAATCTTTAGGGACTGAAGAAAGTCTCCACAGTTATTTGTAAGTAAGCTCCATATTTCTAAAGACGCCCAAGTAGTTGTTTTCTGGATTCTATGTGGTATGTATGGTAGAGCAAACCATTCATTAGTATAGATCATTTTAATTAATACTCATTCTCTTCGAGTTTGACATGAACTCGTTGGTTTAACACCGCTAACCGAAAATATCTATTTTTCCGCTACCATATTATGGTACTAAACCGCTTCTAAGGATTCTGACTGCATCCTCACCTTGTTACTAGATAATCACAATAAAAAGCTTGACAACAATAATCATACTGTACTACCGGTGAGATGTCACTGAATCCTGACCGAATCATCAGGCAGTCGGGTTTCTAAATATCGAACAGTTTACAGAAACTTGTCAAGATCAAAGACGTCCAATGCTGTTCAGTTAATTGAGCATCGTAGACTGGCCCATGTAGCAGTGGTCGCACTCTGTTCCTTGTAACTACTCTTGTCAATCTATTTCTGTAATTACGTCGTTTGTGTTGAACGGTTATCACAGCAGCCATAATAACTGGATTCGACGGCAGAATAATCCATATTAGGTATTAATAGCGAGGTATGACTTTGACGTCAGATGGTTGGTCATACTATTCCTATCCAAACTGAGAAGGCCGCGGATCACTCGACACAGGTAATCTGTGTTGGTGTGATGTTGATCAGTTTAAGAACCAATCAACTCTTTTGAGAACGTTTTATCGTGTTGGGATTTCCTTGCCCAATGTTTTCCTTTTTATTCTGACTCTGCTGTGTTATCGAAGTAACATGCCATACGCTAATTCGGGTTGCCGAATTATGACTAGCGAGTAGGCCTTTGAAGAGAGAAACGAGATAGCGTACATAAACACTTAATTTTTTTATGAAATTATTCAATCGATTCTCATGTTAGCTTTTTCTTCATCTTTGCAACCCGTTTCACCTCATTACATGTCACATTCTATAAATATTTATCACCATGTTTCTAAATTCTTCAATCATATTCGTGTATTTGATAGCAACTAGTATAGAATTTATCTGCTGTTTAAACATACATATATCTGTTTCACCGCGAACACTTTTTGA